GGGAAGGGCAGGGCCTGCACAGCCTGTGTCTGCACAGGCACCGCAGCGATCGGAGCTGGGACCGAACAAACGCTTCTCTGCTTTGCTCAAAGGATAAAGGAAAAAGAAATGCTGATCCTGGGATATACAAGTTGGATTTTGCTTCCTGATGATTCAGGATATCCTGTATTTGTCTGGTGGGTGAGGGTGTTTCCCTGTAGGGCTGCGTCACGGGCTGTCCCGTTGGTATTCCCTATTCCTCCGTTGGGCACTCGGGGTCCGGACGGTTCACCGGCAGGTGCCATAGCTGGTCACAGCCCTTGGAGCCTTTTCCCTGCCAAGCCTGGTGCTTCTCCCGCCTGAGCTCTCCAGCTACTTGCAAGTCACAGATCGGTCCATCCAGAAAGAAATCCCCCTTCCTCCCGCGAGGGGGTTCCAAAGCCATCCCAAAACCAGGCTAACCCCAGGTCTGCTGCCCTTGCAGAGTCGAGCATCCTGCCGGCGGCTACAAGAAGCTCTTTGAGACCGTGGAGGAGCTGTCGTCTCCGGTGACGGCCCATGTCACAGGTTGGTGTGCGCTCCCCGACCTCCTGCCCGGCCTGTGTCCCTGGGAGCTCGGAGGCCAGACAAGGCCTGGAGCTCCCTGTGAGATATGTCACAGGGCTGGCGTACCCGGGTTGGGTGGGGGACCTTCAGGCATGTCAGTCTGAACGTCTCAGTCTGGGGCAGGTGCGTGGGTGAAGAAAGAAGCAGAGCTTACAGAGCTCGTGCACGTTTGGAAAAGAAGATTAATAAATATTAACAAAAACAGTCTGAAGTTTTATTCTTTTTGTTGACACAATGGAATTTTCTGGGTCTGATGTGCCATGGGTCATGCCCGTACCAACGCTGCGTCTCCCACAGGCAGGATTCCCACCTGGCTCCGAGGAAGCCTCCTGAGATGTGGTCCCGGCTTGTTCGAGGTGGGCGCGGAGCCCTTCTATCACCTCTTTGACGGCCAGGCGCTGCTCCACAAGTTTGACTTCAAGGAGGGGCACGTGACCTACCACCGAAGGTACGTGGCGGTTTTCCAAGCGGTAAGCAATCCGTGAGGAAGCATTTGCTCGGCTGGAAGCGCTGGGGACGGGCTCTGCTGCCCAGCACATGGGAGGCACCGGTTATTCCAAGTCCGTGCGGCTATTGGAAGAGCCCTAACGGTGAGATCACTCAAACCGGCTGAAAATAACCGAAACTTAGTTGTGGTTGGGAGAAATGCAGCTTTTTGTACAGATCACAAAACATCTAGGGTGGAGGGAGGGCTGGATGTAGCCACAGCCAGTGACAGAATTACGTTGTCGCTGAAAAATGACCTGTGTTCCCAGTGGGAAGCCCCCGATGCCGCCAGCTTTCGGATGTTTGGTGCAGCACGTTCAAAGCGCTGTGTTTCCCATCGGCTTT